CGAGCGAGACAAAGCATTAGAAAGTGAGAGAAAGAACGCGAGAAAGAGAAATGCGCAAGCGTGCTTGAATGTTCACCGCATGCGCACAAAGCAGCTGGAGAGAGAGGCTACTATATTGTCTGCACCGTAACATTGAGCTTCAGGTCAGAGATGCCAGTTTGAGGACGCTAGCAGCATGCTCAGCAAGTAGAAGGGATACACAGACGAAACGCACACAGGCGAACAGCCGTGTACGTGTGCGCTCAGCGCCTCGGCGAGTGGCTGCTCGCTTGTGTGCGTATCCCCTCCACTTGCTGCTGCATGTTGCTAGCGTCCGCAAACTGGCATCTCTGCTTCAGGTCGGCACCGTACTAGCCAGGGTTGATGTGCAACACGTGTTTGCGGTCTTTTTCATGCCGTAGGGTACGTACGTGAAAATAAAACAATTACACATTTATGTGCATTTTACCATCATTGTAACTCGAATGTGCGACAGTTTGTAAGTAATTTAGAAGCTTTATCAACTTGATATTTTCTGCAGATATCAGCTAGAAAATGTGAAACGAGATGACAATCTCGATATCAATGTTTGTTCGCTACACGAAGACGGCAAATGTTATCGGGAGATTAGCGACAGCGCCATAGAGAATGTTGCAGTAAATGTTACACAAGGATCACTTTCTTGTTTTAATAGCAGACTTATATCATGTAAGAGAACTTGAGTGAAAAAATAGACTATTAAAAATTGGTCTGTTATATAAACTTCAATGAATATAATACACTCTCTATAGATTTGCTGAATTCTTGACGTCCTCGTACAGCATGTCTCTGCTTACAATATTGAACGCGACAGTTATGACATTTAGCGGAATGCAAATTTGTACAAGAATATAAAATGTTAATGAAAAATACGAGTATTACACGTACATTGGAAATTATAATGTAAGAATAAACTTCGAATACTCACGAAATCAGTATGGCAAAGAATTGCAATTGTTTTGTTGACACGGTAATTTTCGGTTATTTTTTTCTATAAGCAAAAATTAAACATATTACAATAGTATGATATAATAAATGTTAAATTGTTTGAAGATAATGATTAACTACTGAGCTTGAGATCACACACACCTCTGAAAGGATTGCGTTTTCTCGTTATACGGAATGACTTGTTGAGTGACTTATTGTTGTGATTAATTTTTAATTAGGCAGTGGTAAATTTTTTGATCAACCTGCGGAGGCATTTAGATTCGCGGTAACGGCCGTGTGTCTGACGATGCACTTTCTCTTTCTCAGTCTGTCGGGGCAAAAATTGATAGATCACAGCTCCAGTGCATCGATCTATGTAAACAGGTATAAGTATCGGTAATATCACCGAAAGCCGCGAAAGTACGCAATATTTGACAATAATTTTGCAGTTATATTTATATTTAAGATAAAAGATAATGTAAAATCGTGTATTTACATGTTTCATATTTTCAGACATCCTGTATAACACGCAATCGCACAATACGTGGACAATTGCGATGCCGCAGTTGCGCCGCAAATTGGTACGCCGTTTCCTTGAGAGAAAGAAAATTGCTCTTCTTGATGCGTTGCGAAGGGCAGGGCACCGATAGCACAGATTTCTTTTGCGCAGATCAACAGTTGCACAGATCCCGTTTGCACAGAAAACTTTTCTACAGATCCCGATTACACATAGTCGTTATTATTACATTTGCGAAGTAAATATTTCGTTTATATCACACAGATATAGTACATATGTGGGCGGGGGAGAGGCTCCGCCCCTTCCCCTGCACTCCCTCCCCGAAAAATCTAACCTAAACTAATCTATAATATGTCTGTGCAATCGAAATCTGTACAAAAGTTTTCTGTGCAAACAGGATCTTGGCAAACGGGATCTGTGCTAAAGAAATCTTGGCTATCGGGATCCTCCCGTTGCAAAGTACCGTGTCAGATTACGGCCGGCAAAATGAGCGTCATGTCTTTAAGAAATTTCAGCACGGTGAGACACTGATGTTTTTTTTTTTTTTTATACAAATCAATTTTAAATTACGGAAAAGTTTTCTGAAAAGTTTATATTAAAAGATATTTTGTAGTTTACGTTCTTTGCATTCAATCCACATATCTGTGATAAAATCGCGATATTAACGTCTTATGTGTATAATACTGATAAAAATGTCGAAGCGCGTGATATTAAAGCAAATACCGTCGTGGACCCAGTTTTTTTTATCAGTACCCAATTTTTAATCAGTTGTTAAAAAAGTATTATAGTAAGAAGAAATAAGGAAATGGCAATAACAAGCTAACACCAGATGTTCGGGTACAACTCTTTTATAATTCAAAGATTTTTAAAAATGTTAACAAACGTTTCGATCCACTATGGGATTTTCTTCAGTGTTTTAATAAAAACTTACAAAAAATTAACGATCTACTCAAGATCACGAAGAATATGGATAAGAAAAGATACGCTACACAGATATTTAGTATGAATTAAAGTTTTTATTAAAACACTGAAGAAGATCCTATAGTGGATCAAAACATTTGTTAAAATTTTTAAAAATCTTCGAATTATAAAAAAATTGTACCCAAACATCTGGTGTTAGCTTGTTATTGCCATTTCCTTATTTCTTTTTATTTAAATATTCAACGAGCTGAAAACATATAATTATTATAGTAAGATTTTGGTCATCAAAATTATACCCCGAAAGGAGGTATATATAGATGTCGGAATAATTACTTATTATATGCCAAAATTGTTTTTGGACTAATTTTTACGATCAAAACCTTACTATAATAATTTTTTAACTGATTTGAAAATTAGATACTAATCAAAAACTGGGTCCATGACGGTATTATTTTTAAAATAATATCCAGTAACGCGGCTTTGAGATACAAAAGCTTTAATGTGACAACAACGTTGAACAGTGATAAGTGAAAAGGAGAAAACACACGCTATAAGACATTACAACTATCTTTCGATGCACTTAACGTAAAAGCCGCTTCCTTTGCAAGCGTCTTGAGAAGTTTTGCAAATATAATTTTCACGATTCCTTTCATCTGGTAGTTTCTTCTGTACTTATGCAAATTGTGCGACATTACCTTCGCGTAATCGTACGATCGATCGATCTCTCTCGTGCCAAACGAAATTCTTAAAGCAGAAAGATATATTGCCGTACCGTATTTTGTTGTTACGCAGTAGTGATAGCGACAGACAAAAAAGATGGAATGAACAATATCGATCAGTTCTTTCAGAAGTCACATTACAACTCCGAATATTATTATAAGCAACAGTGGTCTATGGCTCTTTCATGGAGCCAGCAGACGCTACAATATAAAATTATGCGCGATTTGTGTATTCCGTGCCATACGATTTGCATGGTGTGTACGTTATCAAAGATGCGTTAAAAACACTGATGCGTTTTATAACAATTATAAGACAAACTTCTCGTTTGCAAGTTTAGAAATAATTATGCGATTGAATTTTTTTCGAGCCGCAGATCAAGACGCTTTTGATAAAAACGCGTCAGTACTGTTGTGTGTGTGTCTCTGTGTGTGTGAAGTCAAATGAAGAAACTAAAATACAAAATTCTCACACGTTGCACAAATGAAATTTCGGTCTCTTTCATGCGAAGTGAGTTTTAAACAAATGCTCTAGTAACGCAATGTGTGTGAGTAATAATATTGCAATTTCTGCGGATGTTGTTACGTGAAGAATTTATGTTTGTGTAATTTTCTGAATGGTTGTTGAAAGCACGTGAAATACATGTACAAATAAAGGAACATTACTCGAAAATCTAACGCTTTCTTTATTTATTTGCAAATTACTCTTCATAATGAGCTGTAGGATTACTTTTGTTATATTTTGAAATTCTCTTTTACTATTTTATTCATATGTAAAAAAATCACATAGCAATATTAAGTATATTGCAATGGAAAATCGAGAGACGCGAGTAGTATGTGAACAGTTATGGCGCCATTGTCCCACTAGATTGGTGTTTCCCTTCTTTTCAATTTGGCCACACCTATTGGAAAGAATAGAAATGTGACATGATTTATAATCCTATAAATTTTTTATAAATGTTTTATAAATTTTTCTTGGAGGAATTTGTGTAAAGAGGAGGAAAGTTCGAGGATGTTTGAATAGAAAGATGTGATTCTTTATTAAAAGAGTANAGATGTTTATTGAAAACTCCGTCTTGAAGCGTAACTGGTAATGCTCCGATGTTGTTGCCTCGTACGTTCAAACGTATATGAGAGCAAGCTGGCGTCGGTCCCAAGAAGGACCAATCAGCGTCTGATACAATATAACTNCCAATGAGCGTGAAGCAGAGTTGGAGAGCGTCTAGCCGAAATAGAAACCGAAATAGAAGTAGGCAACATAAATNTGTGACTAGAAAGTTAAGCTTGCATGGGTTCTGTTGTAATATAAAAAANAAATTTATGTTTCTAGACACAACCGTGACAAATTTTTTCTGAACGATTTTCATCTGCGAACTTGTTGGTGAGGATTGACAAAAGCGTGCCGATGTACAAAAGAGAATATAATTTTTTTTTGAAGATAAAGACGATTTATGACTCGCAACAAGCCGTCCGTTAAACCTGTGCGTACTTGTCTGTATTGGCGAGAAACTTCGAGAAAATTCTACGATAGTTTTCGATAAATGNACATGGATATTCAATATATAATAAAATGTTTATAAAAATTAAATCATTTGAAAGAATTGTTTATTTATGTTTTATACGCATATACACACATGTGTGAGTAGCGATGACACAAAGTAAATGCGTCGGTAAAGACTTCTGAGATGTATGATAAAAATAATTTATATAAGAGAACATTATTATTATTGTTAATTTGTCGTACAAAACGGAAGGAGCGGTGGCAAAATAAGCTACTCGCAATAGAGTAGAAGTGGTATAAATAGAGCGTGTAAGTACATTCTGATCATTATTTTGTTGCAAAAAACAGCCGCGTCTGACGCTCGAGATATCTTATTACTCGTGGTGAATCAAGAGACGCGGCAGCGTCTCGACGCCAAGTACATTAAAATATCGGCCGAATGAGTGTTACTGCCAAACTCGGGATAAAGTACACACTACCGTATCGGTACACGGTAGCGTGTACTTTATTCCGAGTTTTTCCTCAATGAATTTTTGATACAAAATAATTCGTCAATTATAACACTACTAAAAAATTTAACCTTACTTGTCTTAATAAATGTTATTACGAAATTTCAATTGCAAGAAGTGAAAATTAAATTAGTTCAGTCAATCCAGAGATCTAAAATATTACCCTTCAAAATGCAAGAATCTGTCACTACGATTTTTAAAATTCAGTCTCACGTACACAGAACCGCACATACACACACACACACAACACACACACACACACACACACACACAAAACGCGAGCGTTACGCGTTCACAGCCGCGCTCGCACTCGCACACGCGTTCAAGTCAAACATATTCAGCGTGTTAATATATTGGCATTTGCACACACATATATTGCATATATTTGTGAATAAATAATTTAAAAATTTTTTTGTATTATGCTATGTTAACGCTTCTATTTAGTGTCTATTAAACTATTATTTAAAAACGTTATTACATCTGGAAGATGCTAGGGAATTTCTTATACAGCTTATGTTAGTGATAACATACAAAGTGTAAGAAATATTAGTGAATATCAATTAACTACAACTTTGTGATGTAAAATGCAGTTATACGATTATGGAAACACATAGTAATTCTGTTCTTTTACTACAAATTTTTGAAACTATGAAAAAACT